GCGGTTCCAAGGAGAAGAACAGGAGTAGAAGGGGTAAGGCCGTGCCGTCGTCCGTAGCGGCTTGTCGCTATGGATACGGTGACACAAGCGAGGCTTTTCGGCAGAGATTGGAGAGGGAGGATGTCGGGGCAGTTAAAAATATGAGCTGCGGGCCGCTAATAACCGCCAATATTAGGATTCCTGTCTACTCTGATTATAAAACTTGATAAAGAAAAAATATTATTATTAATGCTTGGCTTATTTATATTTCAAATAAAAAATACATTTGCATTCCACTCATTTGCATGTAGTCAATTAATTTTTTAAAGATACTTTTCATCAATTATATATATATACATATATATGTGTCAGGTACTTATATCAGTTAATCAGGCATCTGCTTGTCAGTTGTAAGTTTCCCCCGAGATATAATAAAGGAAATAAAATGAGCCGAACATAAATGAAAAAATCTTAGTATTGTTCAGCTCAGTTACATGTCGAGCCCAAAAAAATTGTTCATGTTTGGCTTGTTAATTTAGTAAGCAAATTGAACACAAGCTTTTTAAGAACTGTTCCCGAATAACGAGCCGTTTTGACAGCCCTATCTGCAAGTGCTCTTCGGGCGGAGAAAGGAATAAGAATAAGAATATAGATTCATAATTTTAATTTATTTTTATTTAACTGTTCCCGGACACGAACTGTTTTTTATTCATAATTTTAAGTCATTCATGTTTGGTTGAAAGTTATGAGCATCCTAAGAATAAGATGACTATAACTTTAGCAAATGATGAAGAAAATTGTGGTGTCACTTTCAATATAATGTTCAGATTCTCATTCTTGTGTACCACGTTTCAAGCTAATTTGTAACATATTTATTTAATGATATATTTATACTATATTGATGTTAATTCTTATTGTTTTTTATAAGTTTAGTTGGAAGAAGCTCCAGCAACAGTCACAGCCTTGCATTAGGAGTTCATCCCATGCTGCAAAGGAATTCATGTGAATAAAAGATGAAAAAAATGAGTACTTGTTTGCATGACTTAGTTGAGCTTGTTAGTTTATGTTATATTCATGTTTTCCTTTGTGCCTTGAGAGATGTTTTTCTTTGATGTATCATTATAAATAAAGCTCATGTATGAAGGTTTTTTAAGGAACTATTAGGTGAGGTGAAAAATTTTTGTTCTATCAGCACCGTATTTTGATCATGATAAAGAGTATTGGCTCGTTAGTCAGCATGTTTTAAAAATATATGCTTTATAAGTACTATACTTTCAATTTTTAATACAAATTATTAAGAAAAACTCAAATTATAGTTGCTCATTCGTTATCCTCGCCTCATTATTACATGATTTTGATGCAACAAATCATCAAATTCAATCTCATTTCCATCCTTCATGAGAAGGCTTTTTTTTTTTATTTTTTATTTTTTTTTTTTTTTTTTTTTTTTCTCCTATTTCATAATGAGATGAGTGGCAATGGCGAGCCAAACGGTGGCCGGGCAGTTTAATGGACTAATTTATCTGCATGTTCAATATAGAAATTCCATAGTTAAATATCAAATATTGTTCATTTTGCTTTTAGTTGGTTGAAATATATTTGTTTTTCAAATCTCAGCATTTGTGTTGCTTCATTAAAATTTAGTATGTAATAATACTTTAATAGAACCATTGATTTGACTATATATATATATATATATTGGGAAGGAGCATATACGGCTCCGAGTTTATTAGATTAAATAAGGTACAAAAAGGGGGAGAGGGGAGGTGGATCCCCATATCTAAAAGAAACAAAATACAAAAACACACCCATAAGGGCTCCACCTCCCACAGTACAACTCCACACAAGCAAAATTCCCAAAAAATACATACAAGTATGCCCAAAAATAAACAAAACTTTTACCCATGTAACTTGAAAAAGAGCTATGTATCCATGTAGCCCTGTGCAGCAACTGTAATAAGAGCCAAACCGAAAGAAAATGCAAAATTTATGAAGCAAAACATTGCAGCAAAAGATAGAAACCTCTGTCCAGGTAGTGAAGTCAAAGTTGATCAGCAGCCAAGCAAAATAGAGAAGCTCAACCGAGCAGTAGAGGGACCAAAGTCAAGGCAGTGCAGCAGAAAACAAGAACAACCGTTGGTGAGAACATCCACAGAAAAAGAGGAACAACATGAAAACATATGTTCCAAACCAGCAAGAGAGAAAACCGAGCCACAGATAACACCACATGTTCCATTCCAGCAAGAAAGAAAAACCTAGACACGGCAGCTCGAAGCATCCGCAATAATCACCCAAGAAACAAATACAAAACAGTGGGCTAAGAGCTATCCCAACAACTAATCTTCCAGTAAGAAGACAGGGAGCCCCATAAAACAGAGGACCAGTGCTCGAGCATGAGAAAGGATATGATAGGCATAAAGTGCAGGTAAGCAAGTTTTTTATGCGGTGAATGTTTCCAAGCAGCTATATAATCTTCTAACGAAGATCTGAGTGGCCAAAAAATATTGAACTGCCTCCCAATCCCCAACCAAACAGCATTGGAAAATGAGCAATCATAAAAAAGATGTGATAAAGTCTCTTCAGCTTTGCTGCAAATATAACATTTAGAGACGATTTTCAAACCTTTAAGCTTCAAAATATCATCCAGAGGCAGCAAGGAGAGAGAAAATCTCCACAGAAAAAAGGAAATAGAATGGGAGAAGAGAGCATTCCAAATAGGATGTCCCTACCTCCTATCAGTATAAGTATGTAAATGATTGTATAACATTTTAGTAATGGAGACATTAGAGGAGAATTTCTAGATAAGGGTATCTTTCTTATTCTGGGAAAGGGATATTTGTAATAGGGCCAGCATAATCCCCCACCAAATCCCTCAATTTAGATAAGTCTGAATGCCCATTGGTCCATCAATGAGAGACCAATAAATCATCTTCTTGCAAAGGAGGATTGATATCATGAAAATTAGTGATACCCCAGTGTTCATGCCAAAAAGAAATCTTACCTTCCCCAATATCCCAGTAAATATATTGATTAGCAATTGATCTGGCTTTTAGAATAGATTTCTAAATTCTTGAGTCTCCAACCTTCCAACTAACCACAGAAGGGTGCAACTGTGTGCAATACTTATGAAGAAGAAAATTAGCCCATAAAGAGGTACCAGCTCTAAATTTGAACCATAATTTGCACATATTAATCTCAGGAATATGCTATAAATTTTTGAAACCAAGGCCCCCAGAAGTGCATGGTTTACAAACTTTATGCCAACCAGCCCAAATTTTTTATTTTTCCCCACCCGACCCCCACCCGACCAAAGGAACTTATTGAAAATATGTTCAAGAGTTTTTTTAGTGCTCTTTTTCAAATTTAGAACCTGCATAACATATAAAGGTATACAATGAATGATACTTTTCAATAAAGTGACTCTACCCCCATTAGAAAGAAAGACATTACGCCAATCATCAATTTTGGTCTTAATAAGCTCCACCACCGCATCTAATTGAGTTTGTTTCCTCCAACCACGAAGAATATTAACTCCAAGATATTTAAGGGGTAAGGCAGCATTAGAGCAACCAGAATAGGAGGTTTCCCAATTGACAATAGTAGATTTGACATTTTTCCCAAAATAGAGATGACATTTAGCTTTATTAAAAAGTAAGCAAGAAGTGTTTTGAAAATCATTAAGAGAACAGAATAACATCATCAGCAGCTTTGATAGTGTTCAGTAAGCAAGAAGTGTTTTGAAAATCATTAAGAGAATGCATGATACTTTTAATAGCAGCTTTGATAGTGTTGGAAAACAGAATAACATCATCAGCATAAGCCAAATGGCTAACCATAACATTTTATTTGTGTGAATATTGAATATAAGGATGTGCCTCATTCAATGATTCATCAAACGTGAGAAATAATCAAAAGCCAAGATAAATATAGTTGGGGATAAAGGATCACCTTGCTTAATGTCGCGTTGAGCAGAGAAAAAACCATACGACTTACCATTCACCAAGATGCTATAATGGTTATTCTCCAACCAGCGCTTGATAATGTGGCAAAAGTTAGGTGAGAATACTCTAGCTCTCAAAATATTCTGAATAAAATCCTAATTTATGGTGTCAAACTCTTTCTTGAAACCATATTTCCACCCCTACATTTTTTATCTAAATCTTCCACCATTTCTTGTGCAAGGAGTATATTATCAGTTATATCTCTCCTCTGAATGAAAGCAGATTGGTGAGAGGAGATAATTCTAGAGATTTGTGGTTGGAGCCGAGAAACAATCACTTTGCTCATAACTTTAAAAATAACTGAGGTGAGAGATTGGCCTAAAATTATCCCAACAATTTTTATCATTGGCTTTAGGGATGAGCACAATTAAAGTTGAGGTGAAAAATTTGCCCATGTTATCACTCAGAAAAAAATTTTGAATAACAAGAATAACCTCCTTTTCATACATAGGTAAAGTGGCACGTACATGCAAATCGATGTTTAGACATTAGATATGCAGATACATAAAAATTGAATGAAATGTATGTATATTTCCTGAAATAAATACATCCAATATATTTCTACCTGGCCCCACTCAATTTGTATGCCATTTTCACATCATATAAATTGTGAACATCAAACTTTAGCACCCAACCAAATATCTGCGACCAGCTAGTAGTACATACAATAACCATTTACCAAATACTTTTTAGAAAATTTGATTTCCTACCACCAAACAGGGTCAAGAAAATAGGGAAAAAAAAGGAGAGAGTCGCCATAACAAAATAAATAAAAAAAACAGTTCTAATTAACTGAATGGGCCAGAAACTGGGTTCAGATTAAAGAACCAAGTCAAGTCATCATTTTATTAGAAAATATCACATAAAACCCTTACATGCACATTATTAAAAAAAGGTCCAGTTTCATCGTCAACATATTATAGAATAATGCACAACTATAAACTAAACCACACATAGGCCAAACCATTCTCATATATACAGAAGGAAGGGTTAAGCTGCGCGATTAAGTAACGAGTGAGACTAAACCTCTGCGGTCTCCAATGCTTGGAATACGTCAGTGCGAGTAACTATGCCTGTTCAGTCACACATGTAGCAGTTAAAACCATTAGTTGTGCTTATAAAATGGGGCATTTACATACTAAATTATGCTTTTTGCATTTATACCACCCAAACCTTTTTCATAACATAAAAAATACCATCATTTAACTTAAAAGGTGAAATACACCATTTCATGCATAGGCAAGGTGGTATGAGTGTAAAAATTGAAGTTAGGTGTTAGGTATGTAATTACATAGAAATTGAGTGGTATGTACGTCTATATTCCTTTATAATATTTACCTATAACATGATGCTTCTCATCTAGAATGGGTATCCTGTGGACCTTCTTCTTCAGCATCAAAGCCGCAGCATCTGAAAAATAGTAATTATCACAATTAAATATCAAAATGAGATATTTATAATAATTTAAGAGCAGCAGTTAGTTTGGACAATGGAAGCAAAGGTTTTGGCAAAACATTACCCAAGACGGTCTTGTCAGGTGAGAGTGTGAGGGCAGGAGAGGACATCACTTCACCAACTTTTGACTTGAGCTGCATGACATGCTACTAAAATTACGAGGTTCACAATAATGGACATATGCTAATTTCTCTTTTTAAAATAAAAACTGCATGGAAATAAAATCAAGAAGGCCACACAATCCATGAAACCTAACAGTAAGAGCAGTTAAGAACATAATAGCAATTTTTTTTCTTTTACAATTTAACTTGCAAAGAAGAAGGATTATCAGGAGAAAAAGGAAATTAAAGAACAAACAAAATTGAATGAACAATTCAGTGCTTTGCTTTTTCTTAAGCTCTACATTTGTGCAAAATATGATGGCTTTAAATGAAAATGGTTCTACTCATAAGATGCAACCAGAAAAAGCATCCCAAAGAAGCGTGCACAAATATTTTGTACTCCGCGTACTTTAATGTCATAAAACCGAATAGTAGGTTAAATTATATTAGGTTATTAATAATAGTCATTATTATATGGTTCTATCATATTTAATGTAGTTGGTGATTACTTCTATGTTATTTTTGTTATGTTCTATTTCTATAAAACTGTGCTAAGAAATAGAGATACTATCCCTGCTCAGATAATCAATGTTCTGAGCTACTTTAGAAGTCAGAAATAGTCGTAGAGGTCCTTGCTCTACTAAGTATTGAAAGTTGCTACTAAAAACATTTGGAATGTTCAAACCCAACTCTCGATGTTTCAACTCTTATTATGATGATGACTAATGTTAGTGCTCAACTTATAGAAACAGTATTAAGCAACTTAGGTATCACAGAAATCAACCCAACGAACGGTATAATCAACCAAACCAAACGGTAAATTAATCAGTATTGAGCATACAAATAACTCAAATAAGAGGACAATATATAATTGCACGAGCCAATATTGAAATTGATACCCTACTGTGATTGTTTATGCGAATAGCGCAATAAATAAATGTCGAAACATTTTAAAGCCGCATCCTCTTACATTATATGGGATGGCGGATAAATTGAATCTAATGCACGGTTTGACATTAAAAAATAAATAAATAAATCGAGGCATAAAATATACTGAAGAGCACAAGGAGGATATGACTGTTTCAACTGCAGAAATGTGCTGATGACTAAAGGGTGGCGCCAATGATGTGATGCATTGGTTCCATTGGCAAACATTGAGAGGTTATTTATATAGTATTTTCCAATGAACGATCCCACTAAGCTAATGAGCAATTTCAAAAAGCTAAAGCAATGAAAAAAAAATTGGTCAAGAGTATAAGACCTAGTTTGCTTTGATTGTCAAATTTGTTCTTTCTATTAGCAGCCACAAATATCAGATCATAACTTTCACTTTGGCATGATATTTGCCATCAAATGTATTGCATTCATAGAGCTAGTGGATCAAGCATAAATGTAAAGATAGAGATTAATGCTTATGTGGAATGCTGAGAAAATATAGGAAGATTTGATTGGAGACAATTGAGAAACTCCTTGATGAGTTTTATTCCCTTTATTTTTCTTTTTATTTCAGTTTATTTTCAGAATTATTTTCTTTCCTAACGATATTTTGGGGAGATATAGTGGGTAAGGTTGTAAATTAGAAGGGAATAGTTCCAATATATGTAACTCCATAGTAATAATTTGGAATTAGATTTAAAAGATTGTTCTCTCCTCAACTTTCTTCATGGTATTAGAGCACAACGAAACAAACCCTAGATCCCTTTTTCAACCGCTGGAGAGGCCATAATTTATGATTGGAATTAGATTTCAGAGATAGTTCTCTACTTAATTTTATTCATGGTATCAGAGCCCTATGAAATAAACTCTAGATCCCTTTTTCTATAATCGAAGCTTCTACAGCAACTATCCAACATCGGAATCTTCCTCGAAACCACATGTCTTCTTGCAAGCCCTCCACAGGAGCTTCTCTCTGCAGTTATTAGCATCAAAGCACTTCCCAGAACCTCTCTGTTGGCCCCAAATTCCCTACAAGCACTTATGGTCCCTGTTTCAACGCTCGCCATAACCAAAAAATAAACTCAATGGTCAAAACTTCCTTCAATTGTCTCAATCTGTGTTTATAAACATTTGTGGAAAAGGAAAAGAGGAACATCTCACGAAAGATGGCACAGTTCTTGAACTTCCTGATCCTAACCATCATTCATGGAAGATCTAGGACCATATAGTCGTATCTTGATTGATCAATTCTATGATCACAGAGATTGGAGAAATTTTTTGCTTTATAAGACATCACAGTAGATTTGGGAAGCATCTCATGAGCTTTATTTCAGTACCAAAAAATTGCAAAATTGTTCAACATCAAGATAAAATTGTTTGAGTTCCGACAAGAAAAATTAAGTGTGACTCAATACTCCAACAGATTTAGAAAGTACTAGTTACAATTAGATATTTATGATAGTTATGTAGGAAGTGCCCACAAGATGTTATGTTATATAAAGTAAGATTGGAGAAGAAGAGGATGATCAAGTTCTAATTAAGTCTAAATGAAAATATAGATGAGATCGGAGGAAGAATTAAAAAGATGAAGCCTCTTCCCACCGCTAGGGAAGCATTTGCTGACGTCGGAAGAGAAGTAGGAAGAAGCTCATGGGGGATGATGTGTGAATTCATCAAACATTGAAAGCTTCACCTTGTAAACAAGCAACTCCTCTCATGAGTAAAAACCAAAGAAGAGTCATCCCTTATGTGAATCTTGCAAGAAACTTGGTCACTCAAAAGACAAGTGTTGAAAACTACATGAAAAACTACAGATTGAAAATCAGGACAATGGAGCAAACAACAAAACAACAAGGCCCGTGTTACTACTTTTAAAGAGTCGGCCGAACCTAGTCCACCAAGGAACAATTGGAAGTGCTGAAGAAACTTATTTAGAGCACAACTGTCCGATCTACCAGTTTGATGATACACCAAGATATCATATCCTCCTATCTAGCCAACAATGAAAGATTTTGACTTTAGATAATAGATTCAGGTGTTTCTAATCACATGATTCGAGATATTCATGCTCTCACAAACTATCAAGAGTTCACCAACTCTAAATTTATTCGACTTGTCCATAGATCTTAGTCCAAGATTGTTCAAAAAAAAGTAAAAGAAACTAAAGATATTCAACTCTTTTCTATGTTATATGTCTGACAATTAGATTGCCACCTATTTTTAATCGTCAAACTTTCTCATGACTTGAATTGTGTTACTAAATTTCTTTCCAACTCCTGTGAATTTTAGGTGTTCAGCTCAAAAAAAGTGATTGTCGATGTTGAATTGCATCAAATTGTATACCTGCTCAAAGAAAATTATTCTCTTAACACACAAGTGTCTTCTTCACAATCAACTTCTCATACTTTTGAGTCTATTGTATCTGAATTTATTAAAAGCCAAGTTTTGTTATAGCATTGTCTTCTAAGTCTTCTCAATTTTTATTATATTGCAAAGTTATACCACCGTCTCTTTAATAATAAAAAGCCAGAGTTTTATCAATATGAAAACGTGTCAATTGGCTAAACATATCCGTCCTGCTTATTCTTTGTCCCAATAAAAATACTCACATCATTTCTCAATCATCCATAGTGACGTTTAGGGAACTTCAAAATTAAAAACAGTCAATGGACCCAAGTTGTTTGTCTCTTTTATTGATGACCACACTAGACTAATTAGATATTTCTCATAAAGAAAAATTTTGAAACTACGCAAATTTTTCAGTCCTTCTATAACATGATTTCCATCACAAAATTCAAATTTTCAAAACTAATAATGCAAAGGAATTATTCAATTCCCTACCTTTTAAAAGATGTATCTCCATATGAGTTCTTGTGTTGAAATTCCACAACAAAATGGGATATCTGAGAGGAAGAATAGATGTATAGATCTTTAATAATGTTCTAAAAAAATAAAATTATTTTTATAAGTAAATTTCAAGATTTCAAGATTTAGGATGTTCATGAAAAATAAATTATATATAGGATAAAATAGCGAACACTATTAAACAAGTAGCAAAAGATGTACTTGGAGAATCAAAAAAAAAATTCTAATAAATAAAAATAGTTTGTGGTGGAATAATAATATGCGAGAAAAGATAAAAAATAAGAAGTGATATTATAAAAACTGGTTTAAATGCAGAAGCTTAAAAAACTGGAAAAAAAAATATAAAATGGCTCAAAGGAAGTCTAAATGAACAATCTGTGACGCTAAAATTTCTACTTGTAGTGATTTTTATAATATATTAGATACTAAAGAAGGTAAAAAATATATGCATAAACTAACCAAACAAAGAGAAGAGAAAAGAAAATAAAAGTAAAAATTTAACTCAAGTAAAGTGTATTAAAGTTGAAAATAAAAATGTGTTTCTTAAAAAAAAAGATATTCAACATAGTTGGGTGAATTATTTTGATAAACTTTTTAATGAAATTTTTGAAAATACGATCGACTTAAGTATATTTAATATCGTTAATAATGATAAAATCTTTAATTTTTTACGTTGCATTAATAAAAAAGAAATTGAGGGGTCATCAAGGGTGTAAATTTGTCAGATCTGATGATATATCTCTATTAAAGTGCGGAAATATTTAGGAAATTTGGGAGTTTCTTGGCTTATTAATTTAAAAACTAAAAAGACACCTAAGGAGTGGAGAAAAAGTATTTTGGTCCCTATTTTTAAGAGCAGTGGAGAAAAAGTATTTTGGTCCCCATTTTTAAGAGCAAAAGGGATGCACAAGAGTGTGTAAATTATAGAGGATTTAAGTTGATTTGTCGTACTTTAAAATTATGGGAGAGAGTAATTAAGCATAGGTTAAGATGTATAAAGATTTCTCATAATCAATTTGGATATATGTCGAATTGGTCTACTATGGAAGCTATACATTTATTGAGAGGTTTAATGGAGGAATTCAGAGAGAATAAGAATGATCTATAAATGATTTTTATTGATTTAGAAAAAGTTTACAATAATATTCCAAGAGAAATCCTTCGGAGAGTTCTAGAGAAGAAAGGTATAGACATGAATTATATTCAAGTCAATTAAAAATATGTATATTGGA